CACAAATGACCTTCTAATAGCTTCAGACAAAGGACTTTTCTCTATTCTTGTCTTCCTCGATCTCAGTGCTGCATTTGATACTATCGACCATGACATCTTATTGCAAAGACTAGAGCACTTAGTTGGCATAAAGGTAACTACTTTAGGTTTGTGTTTGTCAATGATGAATCTTCCATGCAAACTGAAGTTAGCCATGGAGTGCCACAGGGCTCAGTGCTTGGACCTATTTTGTTCACATTATATATGCTTTCGTTAGGCAATATTATAAGGAATCACTCTGTACATTTCCATTGTTATGCGGATGATGCTCAACTATATTTATCAATCAAGCCTGAGGAAACCAATATTCTTAATACAATTCAAGACTTCCTCAAGGACTTAAAAACGTGGATGACCTTGAATATTTTTATGTTAAACACGGACAAAACCAAAGTTATTGTACTCGGCCCAAAGAATCTAGGAAACAAATTATCTAAACATATACTCACTCTGGATGGCATTAACTTGCAGTGAGACAGTAAGGAATCTTGGTGTTATATTTGATCAGGATTTATCCTTTAACGCTCACATAAAACAAATCTCACAGACTGCCTTCTTTCATCTACAACATTGCAAAAATCAGGCATATCTTGCCTCAAAACGATGCAGAGAAACTAGTCCATGCATTTGTTACTTCAAGGCTGGGTTATTGTAAGTCTTTATTATCAAGGTGTACCAAAAAGTCAGTTAAAGGTGGGGTAGGTAATTCACTTCAGAAACACTTTTTGTTATATTCCATGGAATGCTCTTAACATCCCAATAGCAATGAATACATTAAATGCTTTGACAATAAATACATAAAACATTTAATCATAAAACATTTAATCTGCGCCATGGCGCTGTAAAAAGCACGACCAATTATTTTAGCCGGCCCGGCTAAAATAACTGGATGGCCTACCTGCCTGTTAGCCTTCCATCTGTGCACAAACTTATCTCGTGCCCTCGTTGGTCATGTGCACGTTTGTGTGTGTTGGAGGAGGGGCTCTGTAAGGAAGTCTGAAGGAAGGGGCAGATTTTTTTCAGCTGCGTAGTTTCAAATTCTACCGCACTCGAGCTGGTTTCTCCATTCTTACCTACCCTACCTTTAAGTCGCTTTAGCTGATTCAAAATGCTGCAGCAGGTGTATTGACCAGAGCAAGGAAAATGGACCACATTACTCCTGTTCTGGCTGCCTTAGACTGGCTCCCTATAGAACACAGGATAGAATCAAAAATTCTTCTTCTCGCCTACAAAGCCCTTAATGGGCAGGCGCCATCTTATCTTAAATAACTCATTATACCCTACTGTCCTACTAGGGCATTGCGTTCCAAGAATGCAGGGTTGTTGGTTTGATTGGGGGGACACTGTCCTCTGAAGATATTGATGAAAACAGTAATCTGTTTATATCTAAAATTAACGATACAATGTCTTCCTTTTCAAGAAGAGGGTGCCTTAGGGATAGGAAGGAACATCATATAAGATTTCTCATTGTCCATTGTTTACTTCCTGGGTACTGTGATGTGTGAATACCCAGAGGCCACACCCTCTGCCAGCATTTCACGAAACAAAGCTTCCCAACCCTTTCAGCGATGCATGCCGGATATGTACAGCGTAGGGCACTGAAGAACGATGCTGTTCCTCCTTTGTTTGGACCAGCGGGAGATTCGGGTACACAACCTGTAAGTATTCATTGTTGTGTGTGTATTTATGATGTTTAAAACAAACAAGGTATCTACCACGACTGTTTAAATGGGTAAACGTTTTTCTGGCTGCTAAGCCATTGACACAGTGCTAACTGGGCTAACTAAGTTGCTAGCGTTTCCATATATCAACTCCAATGTCAGCAGATGGCCTTACATGTATCTCATAGCAGGAGAATGTCTGCATTCACCAGAGGTGGGAGTAAGTCCTACATGTGCAAGTCATGAGCAAGTCCCAAGTCACTGTGGTGAGAGTCAAGCAAGTCAAGTCAAGTCATTGCTCAGGTCAAGCAAGTCAAGTCAAGTCATACGAAATTCTGATGAATAAGCCCAGTTTCCGCATTTAAATCAGTGGTTATGAAAAGTTGAGTTTTATTTCCAACATTAAAGTTAAAGCTTATTTTCACAACGGAATAGTGTATGAAATAAAAACTAATGTATACAAATAAATTGAAAATAAATTAAAATATACATCCAAAAATGTAAACATTACTGTCATACTAAACAGCTACATCAAACCATGAAAGGTTATTCAAACTATTCAAGTATTATTATTGTAGTATGCCACTAAATACTTACATAACTAAACATTACATCAAGCCATGGAAACATATTCAAACTATTCAAGTATAACAGTTTTCAAGCATGCCTGACATTTATGCAAGGCAAGGCAAGGCAAGGCAAGGCAAGGCAAGGCAAGGCAAGGCAAGGCAAGGCAAGGCAAGGCAAGGCAAGGCAAGGCAAGGCAAGGCAAGGCAAGTTTATTTATATAGCACCTTTCAACACAAGGCAATTCAAAGTGCTTTACAAAAAACGAAAGACATTAAGTAAATGGCATTTAAAATCAGTCATTAAATAGAAAAGAAAATAAACATTAAAAGAAAAAATACATGGATAAAAGTTATAGTGCAGTTTAGTCTGGATTTAAAAGTAGTCAGAGTTGCAGCGGACCTGCAGGTTTCTGGGAGTTTGTTCCAGATATTTGGAGCACAATAACTGAACACTGCTTTACCATGTTTAGTTCTGACTCTGGAGACAGAAAGCTGACCAGTCCCTGAAGACCTGAGAGATCTGGATGGTTCATAATTTAGCAGGAGGTCAGAAATGTATTTTGGGCCTAAACCATTCAGTGCTTTATAAACCAGCAGCAGTATTTATCTATTCTTTGACACACAGGAAGCCAGTGTAAAGACTTCAGAACAGGAGTGATGTGATCCACTTTCTTAGTGTTAGTGAGGACTCGAGCAGCAGCGTTCTGAATTAGCTGCAGCTTTCTAATAGATTTTTTAGTGAGACCTGTGAAGACACCATTACAGTAGTCGAGTCTACTGAAGATAAAAGCATGGACAAGTTTTTCCAAATCCTGCTATGACATTAGTCTTTTAATCCTAGATATATTCTTTAGGTGATAGTAGGCTGATTTAGTAACTGTTTTAATGTGACTGTTGAAACTCAGGTCAGAGTCCATGACTACACCTCGATTTCTGGCTTTATCTGTTGTTTTGAACATTGCAGACTGAAGCTCAGCGCTAACTTTTATACGTTCTGCCTTGGCTCCAAAAACCATTACCTCAGTTTTATCTTTGTTTAATTGGAGAAAGTTCTGACACATCCAGTCATTCATTTGTTCAATGCACTTACTCAGTGTTTGAATTGGAGCATAGTCTCCTGGTGAAATTGTTACGTACATTTGTGTGTCATCCGCATAGCTATGGTAACTTATTTTGTAGTTTTTCATTATCTGAGCCAGTGGTAGCATGTAGATGTTAAAGAGAAGAGGCCCCAAGATTGAGCCTTGAGGTACCCCACATGTCATATTTGTCAACTCAGATGTGTATTTACCTATAGAAACAAAGTTGTTTCTGTCCTTTAAGTAGGATTCAAACCAATTTCGAACTGTTTTCGAAAGTCCCACCCAGTTTTCTAGTCGGTCGAGTAATATGTTGTGGTCAACAGTGTCACACGCAGCACTGAGATCTAATGTCTGTGTTTAAGTGGATGTCATTAAAGACCTTTACAAGAGCAGTCTCAGTGCTGTGGTTTGGACGAAAGCCTGACTGGAACACATCGAAACAACTATTTAAATGCAAGAAATTACTCAACTGTTGAAAAACAACTTTTTCAATGATTTTACCTAGAAATGGGAGGTTTGATATGGGCCTGTAATTGTTCATAACTGAAGCATCTAGATTATTCTTTTTTAAGAGCGGTTTAATGACTGCAGTTTTCAGGGCCTGTGGAAAAACACCTGAGTGAAGAGATTTGTTTACTATATGAAGTAGATCTGAGGCCACGCAACGAAAAACATCTTTGAAAAATCCTGTTGGAATAATATCAAGGCAGCAGGAGGAGGATTTCAGAAGTTGAATAATGTCCTCTAGGTTTTTATCATTAATCTGATGGAATTGTGTCATGGTGTTTGAATTGATATTAGGTGGACATAGGGACAACACATTTGCTGTACCTGATGCAGAGGCACTGACTGCTTGTCTGATTTTCTGAATTTTGTCAGTGAAAAAGGAGGCAAAATCATTGCACGCCCTGGTGGATAGAAATTCAGAGGCTACTGACACTGGGGGGTTAGTTAGTCTGTCGACGGTAGCAAACAAGGCACGTGCATTGTTTTTGTTTTTGGTAATGATGTCAGAGAAGAAAGACTGTTGTGCGTTTTTCAATTCCAAATTATAAAGGCCAAGTCACTCTTTATAGATTTCAAAGTGAACCTGGAGATTTGTTTTTCGCCACCTACGTTCAGCTTTTCGACACTCTCTTTTTTCTGCTCTCACGGTCATGGCCTTTCTCCATGGAGATATTTTCTTCCCAGTCACTTCCTTTACCTTAGTTGGAGCAATGGCATCTATAACATTTTTAATTTTTGAATTAAAATGATCTACTAGCTCATTTACTGAGATGTTAGCTGGGGCAAGTGTGGAAGAAAAATTCTGAGTAAACATTTCCCTAGTATTTTCAGTTAAATATCGCTTTGTGGTTACCTCTTTTTGTGAACAGAAATAGAGCTCTCAAAGAACACACAGGAATGATCAGAGAGTGCAACATCAGTCACCACAACCTTAGAGATATTCAGACCCTTTCAGATAATTAAGTCCAGAGTGTGCCCCTTATTGTGCGTGGGCTCCGTCCAGAGACATCCATGGAACATGGATGTCTCTTTGACTTTGTGGCAAAAATACTAGCTAGTGTGAATATTCCTGAACCAAACCAGGTGGAATTTCACAAGCAGCAAGCTGGTAACGATTTTGCTACCTAGAAACACAAGGTGAATAGCCACTTACAATGCTGCATTGCATTTGCAAAAAATTAAATTGGTTAGCACTTTGTCATTTTAGTTAGTCATTTGGTCCTGCTCATCGGTGGTTGGTGTGGTCGGGGTGGTCTTGGTCACCTCTTTGAGAATCCAGTCTGATAAACACAAGCAAAAAAAGGTAGTCACAAAATGGATTCAGGGGTTGAATACTGCATACCAACAGTCATAACACATAAGTGGGTTATCATAAGAAACTATGTCCTGGCAATCTATGTCAATTTATTTTATAACTCATCTCATCTATGGTGTGATATTAAGTTAGATTACCACCAAACATATAACGTACTTTTTATCATCATAGACACAGCCTCCTTGATGTTTTCAGTGACCAAAACATCATGGGTCAACCACATGGTGCCAAATGAGGGATCCAGCAGAGCAGCTTTTAGGAATATAGGGTCAGAGAAGGGTAAGGTTGCACCATCACTCTCTTCATCTGCCATCCTCACATTGACAAAGATCCCTCTGAATCTTCTTTGGAGTGATCCTTGCAGCCCACGGATCAAGCCACCCAAGTAGCGCACTTTCTCTTTTTGATTTTCCAGGTGGTGATTAAGAGAAAGGATAGAGGGTACCACAGCACTTATGGTCACACTTTTTTCTCCTTGTGTGAGGTCTGTGGCTTCCCCAAAAGGCTGAAGAACATCCACTAGTTCCCCAATCTGATTCCACTCTCTAGCTGTGAATACTGTCTCTTTGTGTCCCCCATCTTCAAGAACTGTAGACAGTCTCAGGTGGTCACAGTTGAGCACTGATTTCAGTTGCCTCAGTGTAGAATTCCAGCGTGTGGTAACAGAGGCAGGGATTCCACGCTGCCCAAACTCCTTCTCAAATTTCTCCTTGAAGTTGGTGCTTGTATGGAGAAAAGAGCTCAACCTGGAAGCTTTGGCGAGAGCGGCATTGATTAATTTTGTCTCTTTAAGGCCATCTCCTATAACCAGTTGAAGAGTGTGTGCAAAACATTGAAGTCTTGTCTGGGTTTTTGCGCTCAAAGAATGTTCAACCCTCTCTTGCTCTTCCACTGTCAGGTCATTCCATATGTCAGAATCATCAAGGTCATCTTCTTCATCTCCCTGTCCTGGAAAACATGTAGTGAAAGCTTTTTTCATATTAGCAGCGTTGTCACAGATCATGTGGTCAACTTTTTTCTTGATCTGGTACTGTTCACATATTTGCTCAAACTCTTCACAAATTCTTTCCCCTGTATGGGAACCTTTGAAGCGGTTGCACGCAAGCAACTGGGATCTCATCTGAAGATTGTCATTGTTGAGGTCGATCCAGTGTGCTGTGACTCCAAGAAAGCCTCTCATCCTACGGTCTGACCATAGTCACTGACACATTATCTGCCTTTTCTAATTCATTTTTTAGCTTAATTTGCCTATCTGCCACCAGACCGTCAAGCTTTGATGTAATTGTTCTTCGACTCACTGGAGAGTACCTGTTGTCCACTAGTGACAAAAAGTGATGAAAGCTTTGATGTTCAATGATGGACAATGGCATGTTGCAATTTATAATAAGGTCTGACAATATTGAGTTTGTTATGGCTTTCTGCTGGGGGTGGTTGCAGTTGTATAGCGGCACAGTCCTTGATTCGATGAATTGGGAGATCGGAGGCTGGCTAGGATCACCAGGCATTTTGGTTTGAATGTACTCTTCATATCTGTAGACAGTAAACAGAAGAGACAGAAAATTGATTTAACCACTATGATCTTCATTACATACGTTCATTTGAAATCTAATTTAGACCGATGACAATCATATTAGATTCATATTAACCCTAGAACTGCAGACAATAAGCTAGGACTCAAATAAAAAATGTGTTCAAAAAGGCAGAATTCCAGGTAAGAAAATCATATATGGCATTTGCCATTACACATATTTAATTTAAATTCTGTTAACACTAGAACCGCTAACGGCATCAGCGCCTACATAGATATGATTTTCAAATCATTTAATTTGTTCCTCTTTATAATGTCCTTAAAAACTAAGTAGGACGATTTAAAACTCACTTAATTGGGTTAATTTAGAAATTGCTTCAGTTTATCATCATAAAAGATAAAAAAGTTCAGATTCATTTTACAATAAATCAAGGAATGATGCGCTTATACAAACAAAAACAACATAATTAAAACATTTAAACAAACTACTAAAAGTAGATGAACTACATTATTCAAAAGTTTACAGTAACTGATAATAACACGGGGGAAATAAACGAGGCATCTATTTTCCGCTCTCTCTCTCCCTCTCCTGACAGCCTGTCAGTATCACCCTATTAATCAGGGTTCTAATGTTAATTTACCGTTGGCGTTTTGTCTTCTCTATGCAATGCTTAATCGATTTGAAACCAAGTCTCAAGGCTAACGTAGCTTAAACTTAACGTTAGCTTCCTAGCTAAGCTAACACAACACATGCACGTACCTTTCTCTGTGGGTCTTTTTATAGTGACGAATAAAGTTAGATGTGGTGGTGGTCGTGTCACTGCACTTTGTGCTGCAGACCCTGCATACCGCTGTCCTCTTCTTTTTGGCGTCATCTACAACATAATCTTTGAATCCAAACTTCACAATTTTCGGAGTAACGCTAGCCGCCGCCATGTTAACTGCCGTCTAGTGGGTTGCCAGGTTTGTGCGCACGGGGCTATAATCACCCAATCATGTTTCGAAAAAAATAAACGTAATATCTCAATACAAAAACAAACGCAAATATTTAATTAAAAAAATTCAAGTCCTTTCAAGTCATCTGTCTCAAGCTTAAGTCAAGTCTCAAGTCATGAATATGGGCTCAGAACAGTCTCATAATACACACATGCACACAGAAGGATTCACACTTGTATTTCATGATCCGCAAAAGGATTCACACTTGTATTTCCGGATCCACACTTGTGTTTTTCAATGCATACACAAATGTGTTCCGTTTCATATACATGTAAATAAAATCCAAACACAGAAAAAAGTTTTACATGTGTATTTTTGATCCACACATATTAGTTTTCCGTTTAAAACCGCTGCACCTTCAAACACAAACAGCTTTCTGTGCACGGATCGCTTTGCATTCGTGTGTGGGTTTTTTGAGACTCCCCTGACGCTCACCCGATTCGTACTTGTAATTTCTCTCATCTATAGCCAATCAGATGTCTCCTCCAGTCTAAGCCAATCACATGAGCGCGCCCCCACGTGGGTAGGATTTCTTGCGTTCGTGACGTAGCACTTCATTTACGCAGTCCGGACTGCGGAGCTGACAGGTCAGAGGCATAGGTCAGAGGTCATCTTTAAAATGGCGTCTGGTGGTCGCACGCCTCCCGCTCCAAGTGTAAGTTATGTTTAAATTATGAAATACTCCTAAATTATGAAGGATTGGTTTTGCTTAGTTGTTAGTTGTTTAATTCGAGAATTATATAGAACTGTTTTGGTTAGCTGTGTTGTAGTAGCTGAGCTCCATAAGCTAACATTAGCTAGCGTTGTCTGTCTAACGGTCTAACGATCCCCCATTCTTATTATGTGCTTCTGCTACCAAGTAAAATGTTGCAGTGAAGTGAATGTGAGAGAAAATTAATTGACTGTTCGACAGGGTGTAACGCCTCGGGTCGAGGTAGCAGCACGGGCTTTAGTTCAATGAATAGCCAGGGAGTTGTCTGCGACTCCAACTCCACCAGAAGTGAGCATAGCAGAGAGTGCACCGGTCAGCGTAGCAGTCAGGGCGGTAGACAGCGTCCAATCCCACAATGATGTCAGGGTGAGGCAGGCGATGAGAAGGTGATTTAATAGACTTTGTTTTACATTTGACAGTTCAAGATCAAACTGTGGCTTAATCCCGTAGATGTGTAAACATCTGATATTTGATCTCACCCCTTGCATTACTCTAATGTAATGTTGAGTTAATGTTTTAAAACATTTGTCCATAGTATGTATCCTCCATTATTGCTTTTAAAACCTTTAACAACCCCTTGCCTTGAAACGTCCCAAACACAATATATTAATGTTTTCAAAACAAATATTTTGGTAAGATAAAGCTAAGTGTCAAGATTGTTTTTGTATCGACAGAATATTAACTATGATTTCGCTTTTTATTCATACAATTTGTTCAACCTATGTTAACAAAACCATCAACGCAAGCCAATGATTTGGAAATGATATAACAATGTCTAGTCTCACAGATCCTTTTGTCATTCCCACATCAGGCAATTCCCAAGTATGTTCAGTACTGATCAGCCAAGAGGCAAAAGACGATTTCCCACCCCGGCTCCTTGCATCGTCAAACGGACGGACTTTCACATATATGTCCTTTCGGGACCCAGTCAGTTTACACCTAAGGGCTCGGAAGAGCTACCACTTGCCTATGCTGGCCTTGGAAAGAGGATGCTAAATCTACCGGACAACTTATTGTACAGTGAGGTAATCATATAAACAGACAGTATTAAAGATTTCTCAATGATTTAAAATGTGAATCACTTGCTGAATATTGTATGTTATTTCACTTTGTTTTAAAGACTATGGCTTCGGTTGAGGAAGAATTTCCAAAACTGAAAACATTAAAAGGAGGCTGGATGTTTTTCAAGTCAGCAGGTAATATTGTTCTCATCTCCATTGGTGAAAATGCTGTGTTGTGTTTTTCACACTCAGAAGCCCCACATATGTGTTTTCTGTTGCCCTACTTTGAATTACCATTCATATCACTTCTTCAAGTTGTATAAAACAGTACTAAAGTTTGCCTGACAAAGTGTAACGTATATCCCTAATATTAATGTATGTACTGTCAGGTGGTTTTAAAGCACACTTGTGTTGTTCCTATTTTGATTTTAAAATAGGTGGTAGTGGACGTCGAAAGCTGTCCATAATTCCTACTGACTCCGAGGGGTACTCCACAAGGCTCCTCAAAACAGCGTCCAACAACGGAAAAAACATTGTGTTTGTAATTCCACTACAGGAGCAACTTTCTACCGAACCACTACCCTATGACTCGGCAGAGTTTGCAAAGATGCCACAGTCAACCTGCATAACATGTGGCAGTCAAATGCCTTTGCAGCTGTTGCCTTTACATGTGGAGGAATGTAATGACATATTGACTGTAAGCTGTTATTAAAACGTTTCTCTAATTTCTCAAATAAATATGTAATGTTTTAGTTTGCTCAAATGACTGTTTCAAAGTCTATAGAACCAATTCTCTGTACCTTTTTTGTTTTTTAGGAGAGTGAATCTGGGACTTCTCTTGATGAAGTGATTGAGCAGCCAAATCCACCTAACACAGGGATGGGAGAATTGTCAGAGGTAGTTGATGCTGATCCTGTTAAAGTTACTTTGCAATTTAGTATAAAAGCCTTATTGTTTTCAGTAAATAATGACAGCATGATTGCAGGTGTGTAGGTAGGGTATAACACATTTCACCAAACAGACTTTTTGCACACTGTCTATGTACTCATTTTTTATCATAGAATGATGTTTCCTGTATCACTTATCTGAGAGAGAATTATTAAACATAAAACCTCTTATAATAATGTGATATGTTTTAAAGGTATTGACATTTGTTTATGTTTTTTACAGGTTTGCCCTATATGTCTTGAATCTTACCCGATTGATGTCCTCTCATTTCATGCAAGCACATGTGGTGAAGGGTAAGACGTTTTGACTTGTTCAAGCAAAAGATGGAAGATAGTCATGTTTTGAGAGAGGTGAACAACATATACAAAGTGTCAAACCTAATAACGATATCGTTTGGTGAATGTGCTTGTTCCTTTTTTGTGTTTTAAAATGCTGTAATGTTACAGCTATAGCAGCTGCATCAGAGCATGTGATGCATTTTTAGGAAATGTAGAAATCTTAACAGAGCCGAAATACTTATTAGGGATCTGATTTAAATTACTTTGTTTGATATGCAAGAAGAAATATGTAAAAAAAGAAGGGCGCTCACTAGTCTCTATTTTCCATTCCTGTGAGTATGTTTTTTGTTTTGTCTTTTCCAAGAATGGACCCTGCTCATCTAGCGATGCAGCCAGTATGACAAGGACAGAGGAAATGCCAGGACCTTCAGTTCAACGATTGCCAGCAACAGTTTCAGCAGGTTATTTATTCAGAACAATTACTGCTGTGGTGTAGTTTGAAACAGTGACTACTCACAAACACTTAAATAGCAATGATCACCAAAATGAATGTTGTTACATGTTTGATCCAGTAATATGGAAAGGATAATTGATTTCAAGTTACTACCTTTTAATATATTGCTTTAAAATACAGGGCTTACTAAATGAGACAATAAATGAAGTACTATTTTACAATTGAAGCTGACATATTATGAAGTTTATTGTACCAACCACTTTTTTTCCCTTCAAATTACGTTTCAGCATGGGCCAATGAAGTGGACCCCCGGAAGGCATGTCAGTTGTTCAGAGAGGAACTGCTGGAACGTAACTATGAATGTCCACGCCTCTTTCTGTCAATCGACTTGTTTGACGCAGAAGAAGAAACAGACAGTTCATTGATTTCATTCTTTAAAATGAACAATGTTAACTGGGCAGCTCCATTGAAGTGCAGGCTGAGAGGTATTAATAAATAGTGTAACTTCTCATGTTTCATTATAGGTTGTCATCTGGGTCGAATTTTGCCTTTTTGTTTGTTTTTACTTGCATGTTGAGGATTAAGTTCATGTCCCTTAGACCAGGGAAGAAATAACTAGTTACATTTATTGTATTGAAAGCTTGAAGGATGATTCATGTTGTCTCTTGGTAAGTGTATGTTGAATATCATCTTGTTGGTTGTACTTTTCTAAATGAGGTCGTCTTTTCAAGGGGATGCAGCAGTCGGCCAAGGTGTCAACCGACACGTTTTGTCAATGGCCATGCAGAAACTGAAGACCGGCTTCAGTATAAATTTAGGTGGGATGTCCCCATTTGTCTTTCAATTGAAATAACCACTTGCAGCTAAATCTTAATAAACCAACAAAGATTACAACATGCATATTCACAGTTGAACCAACACTCAATATAGCTTGACCTAAAAATTACGTTATAGCAATACATGGTGTCTAAACTATTTCTCCTTTTCTCTTAAGGCTGTGCAGCTCTTACAAGCCTTTTTGAAGGCGAAATGGAACATCGGGTTCCCTCCGCAGCTGCTGTGCTTCGGGAAAGCAACCTGTTTGAGATGGCAGGTCGGATGATAGGCCATTCCTTCCTGCATGGTGGTTTTGGTTTCTCAGGACTAAGTGTGCCTGTAGTGACTCTGTTGACTGGTGGGAGCACGGATACTGCAGCATCAGCGCTTACCCTGCTGGACTGTCCTGATCTTGACCACCGTGAAACAATTGGTTTTGTGAGTGTCCTAGTTAAAAAGTGACATGTCATACACCACTGCACCACAATGCTAACATACACTTGTCATCTTGTGCATTATGAAAAAGATTCCATTCATGCGTCAAGGCTTGGCTGTTTAGCTAGAAATGATTTCCAATGCTTTTTTGTGTCCCATTTTGATTTTTCCAGATTTAGGCTTTTTGTCCACTTTTGCATGCATTTAAGGCGAGACACGGCAGGCAAAAACATCGTTTTTCAAGTACTGGTCAATTTTG